AGGTTAGTCATTTTCTTAGTAAAGCTTTTAGTGCACAGTCTTTTTTTATTTCATTTTTGTCTTAGGCTGACCTAGATATCCAATATCACTTTCTTCCAATATACATCACTGTTAGTTTTCAGACATTAATGGAATCGTGGTTGAAAAGGAGGTGCTCAGTCAAAGGTCCAATAAGTCAAAAGCTGCATGAAAAATAGGAGCATGTAAGTGGAAATAGGTTAGATCTAGAAAGGTCTAACCTGAGCTTCCACCTGGCTTTTCCGTTTGAAAAACCCCTAGTTGTTCCTAATGCTGTGGCCACAGTTCCATCAAGAGAAGTAGACCATAAATCTCCCCTATGTATCAGAAGGGCACTTTCAAGCCATCAGTACTAATTGCTTGAACCTTCAGCCTCTTGGGATAACTATGAAGACAAATCAGTTTTAATCACCCTGGCTCTGCTTTAGAACTACACATTTGCTCAAGAACTTAACATTAGCACAAGAGGATGAGTTGCTGGCTAGATAGAGTTCCTGAAACGTAACTCTCTTCCCCTAATTTGTTTCTGGAAAGGTATTTGTCCAAAAATTACCAGAGCAGAGCCAAGTTCCGTTGCAGGCTAATCATACAATCCCTTTCTCTACCTCGGCTTTTGCTAATTAGCCACAATCTTTTCTCTGTAGAATGGTTACTTGGTCATTTAATAGCTGAGATGTTTCCTTAAAGCCAGACTACATCTGGCACCCAATAGGATGGATTGCAGGTGCATTTGTTTTTGGTTGGTTGGTTTGTTATTAGTGTAAGTAGCAATGGTGGGGCACGGTAGGGAAAGGTACAGTCAAAATCTGTAGCACAGCAAAGTCCATAACTCCCAACAACTACCTGGCCCGCTCCAGCACCTGGCCCCTAACATCTAGAGGAAAGTTCCCATCAGCTCTCTAGGCTGACATGTAGCTAGAACAGAAAGAGCCATTCTGGGCGCCTTTGAAAGGAGGAATTGTTAGATGGCTTGGCTTACACGTTATAAAATGCTGAGGTGCCTCCAAGTACACAAATATAGAATTTACGCTGGAAATTTATGCTAACAATTTGATTCTATTAAAAAATGCTGTGCTCGAAAACTGATTTCCCCAACCCCATTCATCTCCTTTTATTAATAAAGCACAAACTTTATTTCAAATTAATGAACTGTGCAGATGATCTGCTTCCCTCTAACAATATTCGTTTTGGTCAGGGGTGTGTGAACGAATGCATGTGTGTGAAAGAATGAGAGAAAGACTCAAATTGCTGTAATTCCTGTCTTTTTCTTCTTAGATTTTTTTTAAAAAATTTACCACTACTTTTTAATGTTTTGAAGCACTATCACTTTGTCTTTCCATGTCAGCCACAACTAGCAGTGTAAACCAGGGGTATCAAACTTGTGGCCCATGGGCTGGATGCGTCATGCGCTGGCCACATCCCCACCTGGTTTAGTGGAAGGGGAGGAAAGTCCCAATACGTCACGTGATGCCTCTGTGACGCCGCAAGTTTGACACCCCTAGTGTAAGCCCCTATTTCCAAAAAAATCACAATAGATTCAGGCTTAGTTTTCAAAGAACGTTACGATTAACAAATAGGAACATATTTTGAAATACATGATGGCGCTTTGTCTTTAGAAACTAGATTCTCTTGACTTTTCTTAGTGGTTTATTTTGATACTTGTGCTTTTACGGAAGAGTGAAACAGGAATAAAAGTGTGAATTAATCAGATAGAAATCTCAGTTGCATGACTGACATTTCATGACTTGCCAATTCAGCAAGACCAGAAGAAGAATGAGTTTGCTTCAATGTACCTTAAAAGCTTCTCGGCTGTGCACTTAGAATTCTACATGTAGGATTTACAGGTGGTGCATCACCTGATTTCCAACAATGGGTTAAATGGGAAACAATCCCCCATCCCCAAGAAGCACATTCTCTTAATTCCAAATCAAACAAGTCTGGGGACTTCTGCCTTAAAGGATAACTCATTTTTGAATGTCATGTCACAAATTCCCTCCATGAAAAAAAGGAGATATCTCTGCCCCTTCTTGTTTTTCATCTGGCCGGTTAATTTCTCTGCCAGAGGATTCTGGGCCCAATGCCAGATTCTTCCAGCAAACTTCTACAACTTAAGTCAGCTGGCACATGCAATATTAAGAGCACAAGTCCAGCGCAGGAAATCTCCTGAGGACTTTTGCTAAGCTCTGTGTTCACTGAATAGCCTGATCTGATGCTAAGCTGTTCTTTCCGCTTTAGCCTCCCATTTGGAGAATGAAAACAGTCATCAAGCCAGCTGCTTGCAAAGGTGCAACATAAGAACAAACCGAAAGATTGGCCAATTACCAAGATTACCAAGTTCCTAGCTGATTTTTTTTTCCCCATTGGTATTGTATGGTACTTTGTATCACAAATGCTGTACTCTACTGTATTTTCCCTAACATGTACCATACAATACCAATGGGAAAAAAAAATCAGCTAGGAACTTGGTAACTGCTAGACACATTAAGTTCAAGATGCTGCTAATGAAAGTCAGGTCTGCCTGTAACAAAACTAACTTGTCCAATCATGGATGAGAGGACAGACTTTCCGTGTGTTGTATTACTGATCTCAACTTGGAGGGAGAAAGGGTGATCCCTCTCATGGAGATCGTGCCAGTTGGGTTTCCTCTTTTGCTCTCCATTTGGGGGTGGGGTGGGGGAGGTAGGGGAGATGGTGTGGCAATTGCATATCAAGAGACCTTAGCAATTGCAAGGATCATTGATTCACAGATAGCCAGATGTGGAATCTTAGCTAGCCATGTGCATGTGAGTCCTGCTGTTATCCCAGCCTCCCAGCTGCACAGCAGCATTCCTCCCTGAGCTCTTGATCTTGTTATGAAGATGCTTGTAGATTTGTCCAGGTTCTTAGTACTGGGTGTTCAACCACCTTTCCCTGGGATCAGGGAACTTAAGAGGTCCTCCCCACCATGACAACCGTGCATTTGTCTCAGATAATCACTGACCTGACTCACATAGCTGGCCATATTTTAAATCTGGTATTCATCTATCCTTGAGGTATGTGTGTGATGATCTGGTTCTGGGGGCTTTCCATTACAATGGATTGTTTATTTCCTTGAGATAATGGACATACGGTTTACCAGGGGTGTCAAACTCAATTTCATTGAGGGCCACACCAGGGTTATGTTTAATCTTGGGGGCCCAGGGTGGGCGAGGCCAGGGTGAGCGTGGCCAGCTAGACATCAATTGTGTTGGGGGTGTCTGTGGTGGCCTGAGAACTCTGCCAGCAAAAATGGGCTCCCAAGCTCTGTTTCAGGTGCAATGGCCTCCTGAAACCCTCTTCCAGCAAAAATGGAGCTCGGGAGTCCTTCGCTGTTTCCAGGGTGGCACTGTGGGCCAGATCTAAGCACCTCGTGGGCTGGAGCCGGCCCCCAGGCCTTGAGTTTGACACCCCTGCACTAAACTCTGCAAAAGGTCACCCGGATATCTAATGGATCCAGCAAGTTTCTCGATTGAGTTTGGGAAATTTCTAAGTAGACTGCAGGGTGATTCTGTTCAGCACCTTGCTGACCACTGGAACAGAGAAACACTTAATAGGATCACCCCTGAACAACCTTTCCTTGCCCTCCAAATCCTGCAAAGGTCTTTTGTGTACCAAGGAATTTGGGGTGGGGGGAATGTGAACAGTTTCTGGTGGAAATGTATATGCAATGAGTAAACCAGAACGAGTAAAAGCCAAGGGGTGAACAATAAGGGTGGCAAAGCTCAATTACTTCTCCACCTTTTATACTGTATCTAAAGAATATGGGCCACTGTCCTTTAGGGAGAGATGAATCAGTATATTAATGTAACTTGTGTTTCCCTAGCTGAGTTAGACTTTTAATTTTGAGTTGGAAACCAGATGAACAAATCTACTGTACAGATAATAGATGAAGTCTTATGGTGTTATCATGGAAGCTTTTGAATCTATAGAAACCAAGGAAGTGGAGAATGACCTCTTTGATCTTATGTCTGCTCCTTAGAAATTGGACCCCTGTCTTACAATGCTAATTAAAATGGCCAGGAAAGGATTGAGAGTTGGATCTGAGCTTGTCGTCAACAACAATTTGAGTCAGGAGAAATGCCAGGATCCTTAAAAAGCATTGGTATACCAATTTCTTGGATGCAACAAAACTGCAGTTATCAACCTATCTCTAAGATGTTTTTTAAATGAAGGTTATTAAAAAAGTAGAACTATATTTGTACAGGGTTCTGGAGGATATAAACTATCTGGACTCTTGGATTCAGGCTTGGGCAAGAGATACAAACCACATTAATTATTCTCATGGATGGCCTATGTATCTAGAGGTTCAGTTGTCATTTTTTTTGCTTTTTGTATTTATTTTGTTAGTTATTTATATTGATGTTTTTGTTCATTATCCAGAGTTACCTTGGCAAAATAAATAGCCAATGTAAATTGAATTAAATAAAAAATATTTCAGCAGATTTCAATAATGTCACCCACAGCCTCCTTCTGGACTACTTGTGTGAGTTGGAGGCATAATCTTATGGTGGTTTTACTTCTATTTAAACAGGTAGATCCAGTGAGGTGAGGTTGGATACATGGAAATTTTTACTAGAGAATGTTTCCTTTCCCCTATTCTGTCTATGTCAAATTGCTAGGAGAGGATGTCTGCCGGTCTGGTGTGAAGTTATCATTATGAAGATTTTACCTAGTAATAATCTGAATTCTGTGCCTATTGTAAGATGGATTAGAAGTCATTATCCAATTCTGGTAGTTATCAGGATATGAATGGGGCGGGGGGAGAGACTCAGATATAGACCAAAAACTGTCCCCAAATTGCAGTGGGGTGTATGCTCAGTGTTTGTAATAGCATTGCCATGGTATACCTCTGTAGGCTTCCAAGTGCAATTGAATGTGCAATTATAACCTATAAAGTCCTATATGTTCAGGGCTAAGGTATGTACCATCCTTCCCTAATAGTTTCTGCTGCTCCTACCTAGACAATGAGGGATCATTTGCTAAAGGACTTCATTGGCCTGATGGTGGGCATTCTAAGAATCAACTCTATTACGCTGGAGTGGTTTGTTACTCCAAGTGTGGGTGGCCTTAATCTTCACCGCCTCCAGAAAGCAGATGACTTTTCCAGCAGGAAAAGTCCAGTAGCACCATTTGCCACAAGGTAGCCTGTTAGTCCAATTGCTATTTTAAATAATTGTATTCCAATTTCGTACTCTATTCTATCATATAAATTCTACAGGCCACCATCTGAAAGCCAGCTGACTTTGAATGGTACACAAATTTCATAAATGAATAATAAGAAAGTAATAAAACCAGAAGGCAAATCTTAAAAGTGTTTTTTTAATAGCATCTCTAGAATGCATTGCTGTGTCTAGAAGTACTCTAGAAGTTGAGCTGCATCATCAGAGCCTCATTAAGCAGTTACTATAATTTTCAAGTTGATAGAAACCAAGGTTTTTGAATTACCATTTTCTTTCTAAATAGTTGAACAGAGAGGAGATAATGGATGTCTTTCAGCAACACACATTTGTCCATCTGACTTACTTTCATACATTGGTCATACCCTCTACTCATATCACTCCCCTAAAGTTACCTGTGAGCTGCATTTAACACCTGGACTTGGCTGTGTGGCTTCCTAAGGTATTGAATTTACCCTGAGAGCTGTTGAAAAGCTGTTGGGCATTTTTTTTTCCAGTTGAGTGACAGGAAGAAGGACATAATATCATTTCTGTAATCAGCCACTGTTTATCTCATCATAGCTCAATATGTCTACACCTATCAGATGTAATGAGGTTTCATTAAGAAATGATCTCATGCTAAATTGTCTAGGCTCGGAAAGAAATGTCCTTAGTATTAAGTCTAAGTACTTTCTTCAATCAACCAACCAGGTGTGCATCTTCATTGTTATCCCATGTAAATGATGAAGGTAGAACTCAAAGAATTCCAGAGTTTTTCTGACTCGCCTTGTTTAACTTCTCAGTCTCCTTAAAGAGATTGATTAGTATTAGATTCATTATTTGTAGTTTAGATTCTAGATATTGTAAAAGCAAGAGAAACAGGTCTTCCTACTTGTCCTCTCTATTATAAAACATGAAAAATTGGTTCTTTATATTATGCCTTCCTTTCCTTTCCTGTTCATTCTGCTGCTTTTTCTGATCTTCCTGTTAAGTCACGCCCCCTTAGTCATCTTCCCATTTCCATCTTCCCTAATCATTCTTTTTTCTTCTGCAGCAACATTTTCCCCACCCTCCTTTTAGTGCTTCCTATATTTTACCCAACAGCATTCAAAACCCTTGGAAGCGAATGCGATTGGTGCCACTGTTTTTCGCTGGTTAAGAGCTGCAATGAATGAGTATATCCAACAGTATTGGATAGATGCATTCCTGTCAAACAGGCAACAAATGGTCAAAATAGGGAGCGCCCTATCAAATCCTGTACCTGTCAACAGTGTCGTTCCCCAAGGCAGACTTGAAATTCTAGACCTAGAAAACCTAGAACTACGCCGCCTTTGGTCCGGTCTAAGTATAGTACATAAAATTATACATTGCAATGTCCTACCTGTCAATGAATACTTCAGCTTCAACCATAACAACACAAGAGCAAACAATAGATACAAACTCAAGGTTAACCGCACCAAACTTGATTGCAGGAAATACAACTTCAGCAACAGTGTGGTCAATGTCTGGAATACTCTACCTGACTCTGTGGTCCCTTCCAAAAAACCCCAAAAACTTTAACCTTAGACTGTCTACTATTGACCTCACCCCCTTCCTAAGAGGTCTGTTGAGACTCTAGAAATAGTACAGAGAAGAGCAACCAGGATGATTAGGGGACTGGAGGCTAAAACATACAATGAACGGTTGCAGGAACTGGGCTTGGCTAGTCTTGTAAAGAGAAGGACCAGGGAAGACATGATAGCAGTCTTCCAATATTTGAGGGGCTGCCACAGGGAGGAGGGGGTCAAGCTATTTTCTAAAACTCTTATAGGCCAGACAAGGAATAACGGATGGAAACTGAACAAGGAGAGATTTAATCTGGAAACAAGGAGAAACTTTCTGACAGTAAGAACAATCAACCAATGGAACAGAATTTGTCCTCGGAAGTTGTGGGAGCGCCATCACTTGAGACTTTCAAGAAGAGATTGGACTGCCATTTGTCAGAAATGGTGTAGGGTCTCCCACTTGGGCGGGGGGTTGGACTAGATGACCTACATGGTCCCTTCCAACTCTGATTATCTGTAAATCTGTAAATCTGTCTGTAGGGGGTGTGCAAAAGCTCACCAATGTGCCTACCATCCCTGTCTTTTTGTTTCTTTTTTATTTGTACCCATTTCATGTCTTCATAACCATGTTTATACTTATACCTGACAAATAAATGAAATAATTAAAAATAAACAGTGAGACCAATATAAGGTTGATTTAAGAAAATTGTCCTCATGGGATGACAAAAAACCTCCAGAGCCCTGGGCCCAACCTCAACCTAGTTGTTTAATTATAAGGTGAGTAAGGACATATCTGGATTCCCAGCTTCAAACTACTTCCCCTGGGATATAAGCAAAAAGTAAATCCAGTAGAAGGCTCTTTTTGGTGAAGGCACAACTTATCCCCAGAGTTCACCACTTAAGAAGGAAGCTGGGAAATTTTTTAGTTTCAATCTAAAGTTTTGCATTTCTTTTTGTCTTGCAATAACCAGGGTCGCTTGTGAGTTGTGAGACTAATCTTGCCCACAAAGAATGCTACAATATTTCAGCTCCCAAATGTACTTTTGAAGATCAGGTTCTGATAAAAACTACTGTTTTCTTTTCTTTTACTATTATCTTAGTGGATGTATGTAATTGTTCCCCTTTGGGCTGACCGATTTAAGTGATGTTTTTAAACAAAATCAACATATCAGCTATGCCCTATTACTGGTGCTGATGGTTTGGGTTGTTTTTACTTGTACAGTTCATCCAGGCTGACTAGATAGCTGATTTATAAAGTATATATATATACATACAGGTTAACACAGCAAACACATGCAAGGGAAAAGTTCATGGGCCAGCTTCTACATCCATCCTGTTTGTTGTTCTTTGCAAGAATCCTAGCTGCAAGTAATTCACTGGAAATGTATCTATGTATTCATTCACATTGATTTAAACAATGCCTAACTCCAGAGGACTCTGGCACTTTATATAATAAAAAGCTAGAATAGGAAAATACGTGTGGGGGGAAAAACTGAACTTGATGGCTTGCTGCTGTATGAGGCTATCTTTGTTACATGGATGGTTGATGGGAGGGGTCATGATGAAACCTTAAAGGACCAAAATGTCAAATGGACAGATGCTTTTTTTTTTTTTTTAGCAAAGCTACTGCTAAGTTTAGGGGAGAATGCAAACAAACAGGTGGTTAGCTAATTTATTAGGGATTCGAGCTGTCACTAAAATTTTTGTGGACTTAATATTTGGTGGAAACTGAGCCAAAGACTTTGGTACTGTTAACAACTACAGCATGCATTATGATTACTTAAAAAAAAAGAGGTCTAGACATTAATGGATAATGCATTTGGCTGAGAAATCTTTTATCTCCAGGGGAACAGTATGTTCAACAGAAGTGATTGAAGACTGCAATCGCTGAATGTCTGCTCTGTGACCTATGTAGAGTGAGGTTAATGTGATTGTTCAGTTCCTGGTGGAATTGGCCCAAACAAATAAGGAAAGAGGAGCTTGTGATGTCAGAGTAGGAGTGGAAAGCAGCATCCAGATTTCTTCACAGTTTTGTACCAGGGACCATAGCCTCTGGGGTTTTGGATTCAGAACTTTGTCTCCGTACTCTTTCAGAGGCACTGAATACTAAATATAAACATATGGACTTTCTTTCTTTTTTTTAAAAAAAAAAAATCCAAATGGATTGGAATCTCAACAGAGAAAAACCAATGAAAAAAGGACACAACCGCAGGAGCAAAGTGAAGCATGCCGCCCCCCCCGCCTTCATAAATAGCATAGGAAGCAGTTCTGAATATTTTCTAATTTAGCTTCCCCCGCCCTCTTTCTCCATTCACTGATATTACAGTACAGATTAAATTAGCTTGGGGAAAATCTCCGGCAGCAGTGGCAATTAGCAAACAGGCAGACTCCTTCTTGTGCTGCTTTACATGAAAAAGAGAGAGAGAGAGAGAGAAAGAGAGAGAAGTCTTTCAGTGCACTCTCATTCATTGCCATGCCCTTGTCTCCAAGCCCCTTACCCCAGGGTGTTCCTGACCCCTGACACTTCCCCCCCATGCAAGGAGAGAGCACTTTATGGCAGGGGTCTCCAACCTTAGCAACTTTAAGACTTGTGGATTTCAATTCCCAGAATTCAATCAGCCAGAAATTCTGGGAGTTGAAGTCCACAAGTCTTAAAGTTGCTAAGGTTGGAGACCCCTGCTTTATGGTACTTTTTATAGCACCCTGTTGGAGGAACGAGGGGCTCTGGGCTGCTCACAAGTCCAATAAAAGGATGGCTTGCTGGAAAGGTCTATAGTCAAAAAATGTTGAATGCTTCTGATGACCCTGGAGTCTTCGGTGTCTATCAGGGAAAACCAGTTTGTAATGGGTGCAGTGCCATTCGAGAGCGGGGGGGGGGGGTTATTTTAGAAGGAGTGACGGCTGATAATTGACCAGTGCAATGCTGATGCCACATTGACAATGTCTTCTGCCCTCCTTGCAGGATTGCGCACCACTCAGGACCGTCACATTCAGCCGCCGGGGTGCTAGAATGGGCTTCGACACAGTGGAGGCTCTACCAGTCTCTGGGTCATCAAACCTTCTTGTTGCTGCTCCTCCTCTTCCCAGATGGGCCGACGGCCCTTCCTCTCGCTGCTCATAACTTGAAACCAGCCCTGCCTCCCATTGTGAAAGATAAACCTTTCCTAGTGACTTGGAATGCACCAACAGCTCGCTGTGCAGCCGCCTACGACGTTCCTCTCCCCTTGGACTCCTACGGCATCCTGGCGAATTCCCAGGAAGCCTTTGTGGGTGGGAACATCACCATCTTCTACTACGATCAACTAGGCTTGTACCCGTATTACATGAACACGACAGTGCCCCCCACTGCAGTTCATGGTGGCTGCCCTCAGAACGCCAGCTTGAAAGGCCACCTGGAAAAGATGACGAGGGACATTGCGGTGGCCATGCCCTCACCCTCTTTTGCAGGTCTCGCTGTGATCGACTGGGAGAACTGGAGGCCTCAGTGGATTCGGAACTGGGACAAAAAAAATATCTACCGGGACATGTCCCTCCGCTTGGTCAAGCAAAGAAACCCCCATTTATCTGATTATGAAGCTGAGCTGGAGGCCAAATGGGAGTTTGAGACAGCCGCCCAGAGTTTTATGACAGATACTCTCCGCTTAGCCCAATCTCTGCGCCCCAATGGCTGGTGGGGCTACTACCTCTTTCCCGACTGTTATAACTATGATTACTTGGATGACTTTGAGGGCTTCACGGGGCACTGTCCCCCAGTGGAAGTGCAACGCAATAATGACCTCTCTTGGCTTTGGGAGCACAGCAGGGCCCTCTACCCATCCATCTACATGGAAGAGATGCTGAGAACATCCCCTCAAGGGAAAAAGTTTGTGAGGGCCAAAGTAGGTGAGGCCTTGAGAGTGGCCGAGTTGCCCTCTGCTCAGCACTCCCTCCCTGTTTTTGTGTATGCCAGGCCATTCTACACCTACACCTTGAAGGAGCTGAGCCAGGTGAGATTCTTTCACTGTTTTTTTTTTTTTTTAACCTTTGCTTCCCCATGGACTTTAGTTCTGAGCCCAGCACAGTTCTCGGGCATCAATAAATCTGTGCCTGTTTTTTGGAACTGTGTGATAAATAAACCTGACCTGTGGATGGAATCTTGTAGGACAAAAAGAAACGAATTTGATTCCCAAGTTTCAGACTTCACTTGGAGATGGGAGAAGAGCTCTGTCCCACTAGGTTTCCCAGCTAGAGATGCTAAACTGCATCAAGTGAGAATCACTGAGAGTTGAAAAGGGTGGTGTGAGTAAGCCATTTCACTTGGATTAAAACATACTCTGTACTTAAAATGGAAGTATTTTTAAAATGATTGTGTAACACTCTTCCTCTTGAATGGGCAGGATACACATAATTGCTTCCAGCCTTCCCTTAAAAAATTCTTTTCCCCCCTGTCTAGTTGTAAGATCACTGCTTAACCTAGGCTGTAAAACCTGAGCAACCCAGGACAAATGCAGAGCCTGTAATACTTGCACTCATGTTTTACATCATGGTATCAGTCCTGCTCACCATTTTAAAAACCTCCCTCTGCTGATACAGAAAATGTCCAGTTATCTCAGGAACAGTTCTGTATTTGTTCATTGTGCCGCATTATGTATCGTGTTGCCTTTCGTAGCAGTGTGCCCTGCAGTTCATTCAGCCTTTGGAAGGGGGTTGTATTTGTGCAGGGCTGAAGGAAGACTATTGGTAGCTCTGGTAAATGAGGCCTTTACTCCCAGGTGGTGGTGTTGCAGTCCCCTTCCTAAAGAGCAGCAACACCCCTTCCTGGCTGGTGGAGCTTTTCCTTCCCTTCAAGACGAACTGGGGCAAGGTGCTATTTCTAAGTGAAAGCAGCTTTGCTCTTCTCATCTGGCTTCTTTGATGCCTCCCCGTCTCTTTGGTAGTTTTTGAGTCAAGGCACCACATTGTATCAAATTGCTCCTTTGATCTAACTTAAGGGAGCTCTGTGAAGCCAAAAAGGGCTTTGTTGCCTGGCTCTACTTAAAAAAAAGAAAAAAATTAACAGAAGAGGAACATTCTTAAAAGTGGATGTATATTTTAACTCAAGTGGGATGGCGGTCAGATTATGGACTCCGATGATAGGTAGATGGGTGGAGAGATAGAGGAGAAGCACTTAAAGCCCCATGTGTGCGCCCTGGATTGGAGCAGGAAACTTGTGTAAACAGGGAGATCAGCACTCTGGAAATGATCCATGGGGGCCTCTTGTTGAAAGTAGACCAGGAAGAGCTGGCCGAGAAGGTGAACTTCCATTTTCCAGGAATGGAGCAAAAGAAAGGGATCTTTGTGGTCCACCACCACCCCGCCCCCACTGAGATGGATTGACAGAAAAGGAAATGCCTTGCTTAGGATCATTGTCATAGATTCATGTGGAAGAGAACCAGAGGAGGAAGTTCTTACTGTGCTAGGAATAGTCCTTCTTCCCAACCCTTGTTTCCACATGGCAAACCCACACGAGCTTTGTTTTCATGCATATCTTTCATTGAGAGAATGGTGTAGATCAGGGGTATCGAACTTGATTTCATTGAGAGCCACATCAGGGTTGTGTTTCAACTTGGGGTGGGGGGGCTGGGGGGGCGTGGCCAGCTTCACATCATTTGTGTCGTGGGTGCCTGTGGTCGCCCAAGCGCTCGGCCAGCAAAAATGGCCTCCCAAGCTCCGTTTTTGGCCACAACAGCCTGCTGCAACCCTCTGCCAGAGGAAACGGAGCTCAGGAGGGCCCTCTGTGGCTATTCTAAGCTCCGTTTTCGCTGGCAGAGGCACTGCGGGTCAGTTCTTTGCTGTTTCCAGGGTGACCCCATGGGCCAGATCTAAGCAACCCGTGGGCTGGATCCGGCATTTGGGCCTTGAGTATGACACTCCTGGTGTAGAGCATGGGTGTCCAACTTGCCACATCACATTGCCGTCATGTGACTTATCGTGACTTTTTTCCTCTTCGCGGAGCTGGGGGTGGGCGTGGTCTGCACATGATGCATCCGGCCTGCGGCCCTCCAGTTTCACACCTTTGGTGTACAGAATCATGCAATTGGGAAGGGCTATTTACACCAAGTGCAGTGCAGGAGTCAAAATTAAAGCATCCTTGACAGATAAGTACCCAGTCTCGGGTTGAATATATCCCATGAAGTGATAAGTGATTGCTTGTAGTGTTAGAAAATTTTCCCACAAGCATTTATTGAAGTGGAACTTTCTTTCTGACATCTTGCATCCATTATTTTGTGTCCTGGAACAAGAATTTTAATTCAAGAGACTTCATTCCTCATGGAAGAGGTTACCATAATGTCCTAAGGATTCAGAAATAAGATCAGTTTAAAAAAAACAGATAGAAAAATAAGAGTTTTTAAAACTTCCAGTATCATGGAATCATCAGCATCCAGTAATGTGATTTGTAAATGGTTACATTTTGAGGGGGGGGGGATCTGATCACATGACTAGAGAACAATTCTAGAAGCAGGTTTTCACAAAGCAAATGGCAAGAGGTTCGCCAGAAATGTCTCTGCCTCTTCCTTCCTTCCTTGTTTGTTTGTTTATTGTTTCACACTTTTGAACCGTCCCTCTTCCTCAGAAAGTGACTCTGGACAGTAGACAATAAAATGTTAAAATGTAGAAACAGCATATAAAAAAAAATCTAAAATTTAGAAGGGGGCAAGGAGGATTAAATCCTGTTGCTGCTAATTTCTTTGTGATGGTGCTTTCTCTTGCTGTTCTAGACAGACCTGGTGTACACCATAGGGCAGGCTGCGGCCATGGGTGCTCATGGCCTTGTGCTCTGGGGAGACGCAGAATATTCTCGGAACCGGGTAATGTAGCTCCATAACTCTCCAATCCTCTTTTCTTATTCTTTCTTTTTCAATTTGTTTTTGCTCATTACTTGCCACAGAGTTGAGGATAGACCTGAGCCTGTATGTACTTCTTATTATCTGGTAGTTTTTAGATCAATTTGCATGCAATGCAATTTATTTCTACAATAAATAAAGGGGTCATCAGAGATTTATAATCCAGTGTTAGTGAGAAATTGGGGAGGGGGAAAAATCAATATTTTTGACTTGATCTAAAGATAGGCAAGGTGTCACATTTCAGATGTGGCTGAGTTACATCTTCCAGCAGCCCCTATCAGGCTGGCTAATGGTGAAGGAATCTGGTAATTGTAGTTCAGCAACATTTGGTTAGGCACCTTTGGACTAATCCTTCGCTTTGAAGTGACATCCTGCATCTGGGTTATACTATTTCAAGCATTCGTGGCAAGTCTTGCATCATTAGCAGCTATTCTGTAACAAATTAAATATCCATCATAGATAGAAGGATACTGCGAGGAATAATTATGGTCTTCTGTTTCTTGTTCTTCTGTTTCTTGACAAAGAAATATGGGAGATCTGTTTTACCTAGAGAAATATTCCATTTTATGAGCTCTGCCAATTGTTTCAAGAGGTACAGCCAAGACCCATTGTTCCCCTTGGTGAGAATGCTGCATGGGGCAGGCTTGCCTTGAATTTGGCCTTGAAAGGAATATTGAAGTGTTAGGATGACCATCTTTTATTGCAGGTTCTAAACTGTATTAGTGCAGTTTAGTACATTAATGCATGAATAAAACAACACAAGAGAAACAATATCCTTTCTGAGATTTCTCATTTGTAGAACAAGGGAAGTGTTCTAAGGCTGGCAATTTCTCAAAACTGTTCAGAGTCATTTTTAGGCAGTGCAGAAATGTAATAAATAAAAAAGTGTTTCCAAGTAGTTTGTCAGTGGATCCTGATCTCAATTTGGATTTTCTAAAACTGTAATCCTACGGATTTCCTCAGTCTGTAGCCCCCCCAAGAAAGGTATTCCAGGGATCACATCATTTTTTAAGATTCCTTACCCTAAGATTAGACAACTAGCCCTACTTAAGAGACAAGAAAATCAGATGCTGAAAACACTTTCTCCTTAAGCCCTTGTTAGAATGCTTTATGTCTAAAATGGAGTCAACCTTAGCCAAGCAGATTTTTCTCCCGGTTTATATCAATTAATTGCTATGTTTCTTAATGTATATCTTCCCCTCTCTTACAGACCAATTGCTTAAAGATTCACAAGTATCTTACAAGCACTTTAGGCCCATATATTGTCAACGTGACCAGGGCAACTGAGCTCTGCAGCCGTCACATCTGCAATAATCATGGCCGCTGCATTCGCCGGAGAATGGACTCTGATGCTTATTTACACCTTGGTCCTAACCCGATGGAGGGCATTTCCACTCTTGAGTTGGCAAACAGGACTTTAAGCCAACAGCAGAAGGTCAAGATGGAACAGGAGTTTGCCTGCCATTGCTACAAGGGATGGAGTGGCAAAAGGTGCCTTTTCAAGGGGCACAGCGTGCGATTGTGGGCAGACAGTTGGTGCATTTATGGCACAGTTTTGTCTGTACTTTGGATGAGGTATTTATGAGCCATTTGGACTAGTTGCTATAAATATGAATATTGTGAAGCCAATGCTGTAAAGTGAATCCTGTATCTTTCCGTGTGACAGAGGAGAAAGGCATGGGCATGATGTTGGGTGATAAGAGGCATTGTCGAGTTGCTGTAACTCTCCCTGAGTTCCCAGGATGTCTTTCTCTTGTGGTGGTTCACTGGGAAAGTTGGCCCGTGTGGATTAGTCCTAGTAGCGTTCACTATCTATGCAGGATTTCCCATACACCAGGGATGGGCCGCTTGGGCTCTCCAGAGGTTGCTCATGTATATCTCTCAGCCATCGATGAAGGATTATTGGGGCTGAAGCTCAACCCTTGGGCAAGTACACAGATTTTTCTACCCAGAAGTTTCTGGGTGGGGATTTCAAAAACGTCAAGAAGGTGGCTGCAACTGCATGATCACAACAACCATTTGGATATGTGTTTTTCTTTGTTCACTTCTCCAGCAAACACTTCGTTCCTACCCCAGCAATACGCAACAAATAATTTTCTTTTTATTTCTCTAAACTTCTCACCAGCATACAAGCATCCTTAATATTTGAGGTGCACGTTTTCCTAAACTGTGACAAAGACCGTAATTTCCTATTTCCTTTTATTGAATCAAAACTGATCAAAGCACATTATTTATATACAGAGCAAACCTTTCCTACTTGAACCAACTAGGCGTCCTCCAAAATGTGATTGGTGCTGTTTAATTGAAATATGTATGTAGGTAAATATGTGTACTTGTCAGGCTACCTCTCTTATCAAGGAATGGAGGAGAGAAAACTTAATTTTTTTAAATTAAATATTTTTCATGTGACCCTCAGTGCCTTGGTGCTTCACTCTTCTGTAATGCTATGTACTGGAAGCTAGAAATATCTTTCATCTTGATCAGTCATGAACGTTTTTGATTTACATGAGTTGACTCTCATGGCTGTTTGTTGTCCTGAAAACCAAACCTTTAATGTCTTCCTCCTCTCTTTGTACTGTATACTGTTGCTGTTGCTACATCTCTGCCATTCCTCTAAAAGCATTGGGATACTTCAGACTCTCACTCAGCTCAACCTACATCACAGGGTAGTTTAAAATTTGAAATTGGAGGGAGGGGGTTGACATACTACATCTAGAGGAAAAATGGGCTAGATACTGTAGAAAACTCGAGGTCACAGGTGTCAAACTTGCGGTGTCACGTTAACATCACGTGACATTTCGTAATGGTTTTCCCATTCCCAGAGCTGGGGTGGGTGTGGCCTGCACATGATGCACCTGGCCCACGGCCCACCAGTTTGATACCCTGTTCTAGGTTGACAAGCAGAGGTTTAGCCGGTGCAGCCTTCGCCTTTAACAGCATTCCTGCCCAAGGAAAAACCGGCCTTGTTTCCAATCAGCTTGACACATATGTGGGTCCTCAGGGAAAAGGCTGCAGCTTTTAAAAGCAACCCAGTGTTGCTCTAAGGAGCCACATTCAGACGATAGAGACCAATGCAGATAGAGTGGCTCTGCAGGGTGAATGTGTCTGATGAGAAATTCAATGCACATTCTGACTGCAGAGTTTGGATCATGCCAGAGCCCTGAAATGTGCAATGCGTTATGCAGTTACTCTGTACCAATGGATGAGTCATAGCATGATTTCACCAATGTCCTAGCACAACTTACAGAGCGAGGGCTGCTCACTCTCTACTGCCGATCCATCTGATCGGGGCAGTATTTGTTTGCAAGGCCCTTGTGCAAAGGAGGATTTTGCAGGTAGCCAGGGCCCTCCGCTGCATACCAGCAAATTTCTGCAACCCAGTAGAACCCAAATACATCTCCCTTTGTCTCCTGTAAAGGTGATTGGATTAATGGTTACACGTTCCTGCTTAGATGGGAATCATTAAGGCAGCATTGAACTCTGGTTGCCAAACATTTTCTTTGTTCTGGGGTTGGTCTCACACATTCCTGGTGGAAAAGCTGTATTTGAAGCTGGTTATGGCAGCTTCAAGAGAGTAGTCATGTCAAGACAATGACCTTTACCTAGACATTTTGTTGGTGTTGATTCAGATTTCATATATCCTATATCAGGGGTGTCAAACTCATGTCGACACAGCAGAGTCACGTGACGTATCTGGACTTCTCCCCACTTTGCTAAACTGGGCGTGGCCAGTGCATGACTCATCCGGCCCACAGACTGGGAGTTTGGCAGCCTTGTCCTATATCAACGGCCCCCAATCTTTGGGGCACCAGGGATCTGTTCTGTGGAGAGAGGTTTTTCCGCAGACCAGAGGGGGCATGATTTTGTGTGCTGCCTTCATGTGCCATGTATGGGACTTCGCTTGTTTGCATGGCCAGGTTTCTGGCGTGCCGGTCCATGGACTGGGGGTGGGGACCCCGTCCTACATAATTACAATCATACATACCAGCATTTGTCATCTAAACACAATAAAGTATATGGGTGGTGGTTTGTTCTCCGAGCTTGCTGTTTGGCTTCCGAGTGTTTCATCACCAGGCTAGGAAACATCATCAGCGGAACTTCATTTGAAGCATCTTGATTCAACACCAAGCTCAGAGAACAAACCAACAACATCTGCCAACCGAGCTGCAAATATTTTCCATCCTCTCCACGTACCACGGCTTAGGACAATTGTAACTCTCCTACTATACAAGCATTCTGTGTTTTAAGAGACCTGGAGACAAATGCCATGACAAACATTACTCAAATACAAAATCTAAGTTGAAATAACAAGGAAATGAACAAGTGTGGAGAAAAGCATACATTTGTTCACATAGGATGGAGAACAGTAACGCTGTTTTTATCAGAGACAGATGGGGAGGGGGGGGGCGTGTTATTGCTATGTATCCATAGAAGAAAACAAGCCACTGGCTGCAAATTCTTGGTTATCAGATGCACACGTGCTCATGTGCTGGGATGACTATAACGGCCTGCATCGAGCCCTTGTGTGAAATGCTGCAGAAATGGAAATTAGATTAATGCTAATCTGGTATCCACGGAACATGAACTGAACTGCAGCATTAGCAAAGATGTAGAGTTGCAGTTGTGTCATGGGAACACAATGCTACTTATTGCACACTGCCCGGGCTGTAAATTTAATCCAGCTCCCACACCCTGCCACTCTCTGTAAGCAAGGATGTCTACCAACTTGCTCACCCACTTCAGGCAGTTCTCGACTTATAACAGATCATTTAGTGACCCTTCACAATTACATCACTGAAAAAAGTGATGTAAGGTCATTTTTCAGTTAACAACCTTCGTAGCATCCCCATGATCACATGATCAAAAAATCAGATGCTTGACAATTGGTTTATACTGCTGTATCCCAAAGTCACGTGATCTCCTTCTGCAACCTTTTGACAAAGTCTAGGTAGGTCAAAACTTCCCTTTTGTTCAGTTTTTTTTTAGTTTTTTATTCTTATTTTAAAACAAATCCATCCTTCCCTTATACAGTGTGTCGACTGGGTACATATATATCTTGTGCAAGTATATTTTGTTTCCATTTCTTTTTAGGATAACCTTTTGACAACTGTCAATGGGGAAGCCAGATTCACCTAGCATATTGCTAACTTAACAACTGCAGTGATTCACTTAATAATGGTGGCAAGAAAGGTCGTAAAATGGCAACGCTCACTTAACAAATGCCTCAACAACATAAATTTTGGGCCCCATTGTGCTCATAAGTCGAGGACTACCTGGACCACCTTTTCCTATGAATTCGTGTTAGATCTTTGATGAAGCTAGCAGTGGTCCACATAGATTTATGCCTAAAATAAGAGAGCCCTACCTAATTAATTGGCTGTTTTTGTTCAAAGCAGGAATTCTGAAACGAACAGCTTGTACACAAATTAGAATTGATTCCAGCCTTTTCTTCTCTTAAAGAATGATAGCTCTTGGCTTACTATTAAACCTGGATGTTAAATAAAGATGGATTGTTTATAGCAGATCATGTTTATCTAGGCTCATCATCTGATGGCAGAGATGCCAACTGAGTAAGCTGCTTACTTGCACCTTTTCGTGTGAGGATCTATCTGATGTATTAAGTACTTAACTTCAATCCTGGGCAAGGGAATTATGCCACGTGGCCTACTAATTTGGAGGCATAATACTCAGTTTTAGCTATGGCACAATAACATTCCTTTGCTTTTAAATTACAAAGTGACCAGCTTATTATGAAGTGCATGGTGCCTACCCACCCCACAAAAGTTCTAGCTTTAATATATCCCAGACAGAAAATTCAGGCTCTGGAATATTCATCCTGTCCATTACTAATTATGTAAATCAAATACAACTCTTCTTTCTCAAATGTTTCTCACCTAATGACGTCCCCCAAATGCATTGAGCATCTGTGCCAAAAACCAATTCTTGAATACAATTCTTACAGGGATATTTTTGTGATTCTTTGGGGGAATTATAGCTTGAGGTTCTTGTTTATCTTATTGCCCCAAAATGTGTGAGAACCAGCTGTGAACACTGAATTGAATCCATCATTAAGTTGTGATGACATCTGATACACAGAAAGAAGAAACAAATGGATCAAAATGTGTCTTTAGTATTTAGGACCAGATAGTGCCATGCTTTAAAAGGGCAACTTACACAGCTTTGAAATTCAGCATAAATATACCATATTGCCTTTGCTATATTTCAGCTGCAAATTAGACATCTTTCTTGGCACACAAGACATTTTTAAAACAGAGGTGGTATTCAGCAGGTTCTGACCAGTTCTGGAGAGTTAGTGGAAATTTTGAGTAGTTCGGAGAACCGGCAAATAGCATCTCTGACTGGAGATTTTACAGTATCCTTCCCCTGCTACGCCCACAAGCCACGCCCACAGAACCAACTGGTAGTAAAAACATTTGAATCCCACCACTATTTTAAACCTGTACTTGAAATATATTTGTCAGTAAGTCATAATCAAATGAAATTAACTGAACATGTTATTAACACCTCAAAGGGATAGTATCAAGATTATGAGAAGTGTTACTATCACTTGTACTGCTTTGGTAAGACCACATTTGGAATATCGTCTCCAGCTTTGGTCAACATGATATAAAAAAATATTTGCAATCTAGAGTGTGGAAAACAATGATTAGAGGACTGGAGGCTAAAACATGAACAATTTTCAGGAATTAGGTATATCTGGAATGCCGAAGGACTAGGGGTGTCATGATAGCAGTCTTCTAATATTTGAGGAACTGTCACAGAAAAGATGGCTTCAATCTATTCTCCAAGCACCTGAGAGAAACACCGCAAGAAGCAATGGATGGAAACTATCAAGGAGACATCAAACAAAAAAATGAGAAAATTCCAGACAATGAGAACAATTAAATCAGTGTAACCAGAGGTGCTATTCAGCAGGTTCTGACCAGTTCTGAAGAACCGGTAGTGGAAATTTTGAGTAGTTTGGAGAACCAGCAAATGCCACCTTTGACTGGAGAGTTTACCGTATCTTTCCCCTGCCACGCCCACCAAGCCTCGCCCACAGAACCAGTAGTAAAAGAATTTGAATCCCATCGAGTGTAAGAGTTTGCCTTCAGAAGTTGTGGGTGCTCCCTCACTGGAGGTTTTCAAGAAGAGACACATTTATCCAGAATGGTATAAGGCAGGGGTGTCAAACTTGTGGCCTGTGGGCCGGATGCATCAAACGCTAGCCACACCCGGTTTAGATAACAGGTGGGGGAGGGAGTTGTGATGCTTCATGTGACACCATGAGTTTGACACCCCTGGTGTCAGCATTCCAGGGAACCTCCATTCCAATCAGTAACTCCGAGGCAAGCATAATCTCAAGAGTACCTTTATTAGAATAGCACCTGGCACATCTGTGGAATCTCAAAGCTAAAAGTTTCCTGAACTTCCCACAATGTCCCAAACTACAAACCATCCCCTTTTCTCTCATTGTCACATCACATGGACCAATCCCAAAGTAAGTTCCTTTTCATTTCTGCGCCACACTCTGTGACCTTGAACTAACAAAAGAATTCTATTTTGTCTACTTAGAGCTACTCAAAAAATCACCCCCTCCCACTTTCTCAGACTATATTGCAGCGATTAATAAGGATTCCAAAGCTGACACCTGGTATAGGGGCTCCTGCTTGAGCAGCGGGTTGGAGTAGCAAACCTCCAAGGTCCCTTCCAAGTCTGTTACTCCACATAAAATTTGCCTTTAGTTTGTGTATGCTAACAACGCCAGCAATAAAGCGCTCCTTGCTGGATATTTAAGGATCAACATTCTGTTTACAGATTTGATTTCAGTATTTTGGCCGAAATACTGTAAGCCGCCTTGAGTTGCCATATGCGAATAGGAGGCAATATAAATGTCCTAAAATAAATAAATAAAAACAAAGGAAGAATGTTTGAAAGGCTCCCACATCAACACCTGGAGAGTAAAACCGATCTTGGTATCCTTGATAACCAAACCAAGATAGGGCCTTGAATAGATGTGAACACACTAATGCAGCCTATATATATGTAGTGTGCAAAAATAGGGGGAAATCCATGGTTTATTGCAGATCTGCAAACATGACCTCTTTTACAATCACATGATGAATATCAAACCGCCTGGCCTCACAAGGTAATTTCAACCACTTTGTAACAATAGTTTCCATGAATTCCTGGGACATAAAATTTATCATAGCTGTTTATAAAGAGAATGGCCAACTTTATCCACAGACATCTCAGTCTACTAAAGAAATACTCAAAACAGGTTGCTTTAAAAATACTTTAATTTTTAGAAAATACAGCATTCAAAACAGTATGCCCTGCCTCCCCCATAATTTCCAAATTTACATCATCATATAGCCCAGTCAGGAATGTGCATCTCCCAAACTCCAAACCTTGATTCTTATGGAAGATTTGATAAATTACTAGCATGGATAAAGAAACAATCACTCCTAGCTTGCTTTTCATCTGCAGCGAGTTAAATGCAATGGCCACAGTGTTAACCATGTAGACAATTAAGACATTCTTTTAGTGTGTTAGAGATGTCAGCGTAAAGCTACTGTCATTTCAATTGTGGGCACACAGGAAGGAATATAGTTATTAAGAGTATTAGCGAGGTCTTACTGTAAACATAATTCTTAAAAAATTATTTTGGGACTCCTACAAAACTTTATTTCTATGAGGAGATGTTTTGTTCTTGCAATCACTCAACATTTTGTAGTATTAGTCAGATCTAATAAATGTTTTGATTAAGTGTTCATCCTGGATATAAATAGCCAGATACATTCTGATCCAAGCTAACAGGTACGGAGACGATTCCAGGATGGGGAGTCATTTCTACATTTTTGTAGAACTTTTTTGCTTACTTGGCGAGTGTGTTGGTGGTAAGTTTGTAAGATCACATAACCGCAAGGAAAACAGAGTTGTGGAGTCTAGTTGAATATTGAGACTCCCTACCCTGGAATAGTTGTTAGAGTGGATCAGAAAATAGGACGAGGGTGGGAGAAGAGTCGGTTTTGATAGAGTAGACAGATCCCTGTGATTCACACAGGGCGTAACTGATTTTATTGGTCTTCCAGTCAACAAATAAGAAAAGGGATTCACTGGCAATATGAGTATGCACAATGTGCAGCAGCTGCTAAGATCAGATAAGACAGCTGAGAAGCAGCTCTTTGCAAGGCTGAGTGATACCCTGTGTTGCATTGGGAAGGAGAAAGGGCGAGTTGTGGAAGGTCAGCTTGGAAAGCAGGCTGTTTGCCTTCTTTCCTTGACAGAAGTTCTGATCAGTCCTCATTTAACCACTGGTCACGCACTTGAGAGTACTGACTGATCCACCATCATTGCACGGTGATATTTGGCATTAATACCACAAACGGATCATTTCAGACTAACTTGATAGAGTAAAAGATGTAAAACAAAGGCAGTGCTTGCTTGCTTGCTTTTCTGCTCCATTTGTTTGAATCACAAGGATTAATGAATGCATTTAGTGAAAACAAGGAAAACGCCAACCATAGTCATCCAAGTGTGCTTAATATCTCATCATGAACCCAAGGAAATATGAGTTCAGGATCAGAGTAATAGCTGTTATCAGTTTTGGAATGGCAAATATTTGTTTTTCTGCATCAAAATATAATAGGGACCAAAAAAGGTATGCTGCCTCTTATTGGTGGGGAGAATGCTATACATGGAACAAAACATACAGGACAAATTTAATATAAAATTTGCCTAGGGGCAAAAGGGTAAAATGATAAATCGTATTATTACAAGAGTGTAGCACTCTCAACAAAAACTTAAAATAAAAGTAGCAAAGTTATCTCTGCATATATGATGCAGAAAATGCAGAGGTCCAAATCCAAATATTATGGAATATCATCATAATCTCTAGATTTAGCTAAGCTGATTGAAATTTGGTCACAGTAAAAATAAAGTATTTAAAGAAATCATTGTGCCAAAGATCAGCAATATAGAGCCTTCAAAATGTCCAAAGAACCACCCATTTTTTAAAAAAAACAAAATTGAAATGTTGTGCATTGACCAGTGTTATGCTGTAATTTTGTGTTTCAGTTGCTGATCCCTGCATTATGCCTATTTAAAGCAGAATCTTGCTGCCTGAACATGTTTTAGGACAAACTTTGAATTTAATTATTATCTTAGAATTATATACTGGATGCAATATATGTTTATTTCTAAACTCTACAGAGACTTCAATTATAAAGACATCTGTTCCAAGGACTCCCAATAAACCTAAGATGCAAAAGATGAAGAGTTTTAAAAAAAAAATCAGGAAAACTTAACATTTAGACTTTTCCCCATCCATGAAATGATGGCGCGCATACCACCACTTCCATCACAGACATTTTCATCTGGATTCTTGTAGTGAGGAGGGGATTGGATCTGAATGTCTGAATTTTGTCTTATTTTAAGAATCTGTGATTTTATTTTCTTTTTGGAATCTGTGATTTTATTTTCTTTTTAGAATCTGTGATTCTGTTTTTTTTTTTTCTCTCCATACAGAATACTTAGAATTTGGCAAAGCCTACCCTTTCTTTCTTAAATTGCAGATCAGTCCCACTGGGGAAAAGAGTGGTCTAGAGCTTGTTCTCACACAAATACTACTCTACTCAAGCTACCATACTAATACCATACTATGGGCTATGGGGGGGGGGAAGGCTTGCAATTTCAGAGAGTATTGTATGCTTGCACGACATATAAAAGGCCAATCAACTGCTCCTTGGGGGTCATAGGAACTTTCATTATATATATCAACTTCACCTGCTCTAATGATTTTTCAGAAGCTCCCAATCCTAAGGTCACAATTGTGTCTCTAGTTTTTTGTGAGTAGATCGTGGTCTTCTAAGCTGATCATCAAGACTCTTCCCAGAGTCCTTGGCAGTTCAAATGCCCATCCATCATGTACATGGATAACAATTTCATGCCATCCTGGGCTATCCTTTCTTTCCACCTGGTTTTCATGGATCTAAAACAATTAGCCTTGGCAGACAGTATCTAACACATGGAATGAACAGTTCTCTGGGCAAAGTACATTCTGTGAAAAATAGAGCCCATCAGCGTTCAGCGATCAATGAAAGTGCTAATGTTCCTCTGGCCTTGCAAAGCTCTATAACATAACTAAAGATCTATGACAAGGGGATGCAAAGGTTTGGGGATCATGATCTAGGACAGAGGTCCCCAAAACTTGGCACCTTTAAGACTTGTGGACTTCAACTCTCAGAATTCTGAGAGTTGAAGTCCACCAGTTTTAAAGTTGCCAAGTTTGGAGGCCTCTGATCTAGGATTGAGTATATATGAGATGACCAAAGACCAAGCGACTTTATTTTAGATGCCCAGCGTGGATGGGCAAAAAACAAGCAAAAAACAGATCAGGAAGGAATCTACCTTCTCAGTTAAAGTCAGAAGATGATCTCAGTTAAGTCAATGCTGTGTTAGGCTGCAAGCTAGCACATGAGGAAACCATGACTTGGGAAAGCATATGAGGGCTACCCATGAAGCGATTCTTGCCATCTTGATGTAGTTCAGTGGAAATGATGCCAATAAGGGCAGTATGACAATTATGCTCCCGGTTCCTAATTGCCCATATGTCTATCCTAGGCTGCAACATCACACAATGAGCCATCAAGACATAAGGCAGGGAAGAAAGAAAGGCTACTGGCTTTCTTCAAATCAGAAAGGAAGCAGAACACCTTTTTAAGAGAAATCCAACTCATCACTAGACTTGCGATGGGTATTTTTTTTTTCCACAAACATGAGGCCTAGAATGAGATTATCAGGACTCTTGAGCAAAATGAGAGTTTTACTTCTTCGGTAGCTTGGGAAACAGTTTCTTAAAATCCAAACAACACACTTCTATTTTTGGAGGAAATCTGACTATTTTTTTTAGCACTACCCCCATCCCCTCCATTCCACCTAACTTCAAAAACAACCTGTGGAACATACTGCCCTTCGCCTCAACCAAGTAAGCAACTGATCACTGTATCAGATACTAGGGAAACAGACTCCCTTGGTAAGGGAATGACATTGACAGGATGGGAGTGCCGTTAAGTTACCGTTATCATACACACAGTGCCTCTCTTTGATGGGTTCACACAGCACCCAAGATAGAAGTTTATAACTCTTTCAGATGAGAGGCATACAAAACTCATTGAGTGGTGCAGATTCCAGGCAAGACAGGCCACAAGATGAAGCAATAACAGGAGCATCTGTTGTAAGAAATATTAAAAAAAAGAGAGAGAACAAAAAGCTCTACGGTACCCCTTCCCCCTAGATTTATATCACCATAGAGCAAAAGGAAAGAAAAAAGAGCATGCCGTCTTCTTCCTCTTCCTCTCTGTCCCCCGATTCCAACCCTCCCACCCTGTTAATGAAACCGATGGACGTGACTTTGAGAAAAGAAGTAGGGAAAAGGCTCTGGAGTTCAGTGGACAGGCTCAAATGCAGAGAAGTGGATTGGAGCTGCAACGCTGGAGGCTGGGAGACATTCACAGCTCTTTGCTGACCCGTACTCTGGGTTTAACTGTCTTCTCCGTTCTCGCCTGGTCCTTTGATAAGTCGCTTCTGTCCCCTTTTGCCCACAGGACCCTTTGGCTTGGCAAAAGCCTGCTTGAAGGCATGCTGCTTGGGGTGGACCTCATCATACAGGAACTCGGCGGTCAGCTCAGCTCCATCATCAATTTCAATCTGATACAAAGGAGAAAGGAAAAGTAGTCTTAGATCTGGCCACTGAGAACCTGAAAGCCAACTGAGGTTGGGATTTTCTTCTCACGAACGGTATTCCATTATATTTCTCTTCCCTCATAGCTTTCCAGCTTCTACTCCGCTCTGCTCCTACTTCACAAGGCCATTTCTAAACTTGTTTTGGTTTTATTTCCAGGACTTGAACATTTCTTATTCTCTTTAGAGAGGAGTTCATTAAAGTCTTATCTTACTTTTCATGTTGTCCATGCTGTGGGGGCACCTGTTTCTAGCATGTCCTTCCAACAACCTCTGGTTGCTTCAATCTTCAGATCCCCATATCTCCCTCTTTCATACTGGTTAAAACTCTAAAAGTCTACTTACAATGAAAGAGAATTGGTTTTTCTTCCAGATGCTTATGAATCCAGAGGACAAAGGCTTACCTTCTTTGCAATTTCTAGGCAGAAATCTTGCTCTATGGAGTCAAGCAATCGGCTCTTGCAGCTGGAATACAGCATGCGCTCTTTGATGCTACATTTGTAACCAGGCATGGAGTAGATAAACACTAGGAGAAAGAAAAAAGAAGATTAGGCATTCTTGGGCCCTTGTAAAATTAATTCCACTAACCCATGTTGAAATAACGACAGTAGCATGTGACAAAACAAATAAAACACAGTTGTATTTGTATACTGTTCATATATTACACAGGTGAAATGATACTAATTCTTATTATATCTAAAGTCTATTGCACATGAATTGGGCATTGATTTTAAAAACACATTTCTCATCAAAACATTCCCCAAGCTGGGCTATGAATTCAAGTCTCTCTTTTGTTTTAGGACTGGCATGAAGTTGTTTACATGTTATGGAGATTCTCAGTCATTCAGGTCATGGTTGTCTCAAAGGCGCTCTTTTCAAAAGACAACTGGATTATGTTTTTCTCCTTGAGGAAAAAGATATTTCAAAACTTCTTCCTTCAAGGGAATATATATATACACACACACAAAAACACACACACATAGAGAGAGTGTCCAGCTCTCTTTTGAAAAGAGCACCTTTGAGAGGAAGTTGTTTAGTTTTGCACTGCATTTCTGGGCTGTGTGTAGAAATATCCTTGAGTTTTTCTAGAGCTGGGCAGAAGAGATCAGTTTTAGGTAGAGAGGTGAAGGAACTTCCCAGCCAGCCAGATTGGGGGTGCCAGGAGATTCACCTACTATAATTACTGAGGGTGCTTGGATAAGGAATCCACCATAGAGGTTTTAAACTCCCTCCCCAGATGGCAACTCCATTCTAGAGGGTAATGAAAATACCCACTCCGTGTCCAAAGGGAGGAGTGAAATCTTTCCTCGGCTGTAGATTTGGTTACAGCTTACCTACTGACTCCAGATAATCTCCCTCATGAGAGTGTTTATACAGAAAGAAGTGGTAGCGAGCAGAATCCTGAGGAATTCTTCTAGGCAGATCAGCAATTTCTGTAGCCTTTGTGTGGACCAGCTCTATGGTCTCCTGCTCCAGGTTCAGCTTCTGTTGAAACAAAGGCAAGAGGAAACAAAAATAACAATGAGACGGAAACTCCAGCAGCGCAACTTGCGCAAGCAGAGCATGCACAGCAACGAGCAAAACCTGGGACAATTAAACTGAAAGCACCCCCCTCCCCCCCAAAGAATCCCTTACCAGCTGGATGTAATTGATTTTCTTCTGCTTTAGTAGCTGAATGGCTTGTTGTGCATCTGGCTGCAAAGGGAAGGCCAGGCCTTGGAGAGTCTGATGTTTGCTTTCTACACTGATTTCAGTTTTGACCTGGCAACAGGGACACAAAACACAGATTGAAGTGAAACCCTGCATGTATTTCCTTTTATATCCTGGCATTTATTTTACACTTTCGCCCATCAAAGGAAGTTAACCCTGAAAAAGTAGAGAGGCACAAGAAAGATGGAGATGTAACAGACAAACCATGCTACTAGCACCCAGAAGTGTAGGGATCCTTTCAGGAAAGAGCCATTGTAATGCTCTTCCTTCCCTTCCCCTTCCCTGTAGGACTAGAGAGTTTAAAGGATCTCTCTCTCTTTCTTTCTGTGTTTTTGTGCGGATTACGTAAATCTGTAAAAGAGAGAGAGGTGGGATGGACTGAGGTGGATATTGAGAACTCTCCACTCAAGTCCAAATAGAATTAAGTTCATTGGGTTGAATGCGGCTGTTTCCCAGGGAAGTGTGTTTATGATTCCAGCCTTAGGAAGAAAGGAGAATCCACAAAGGCAGGAAATGGCCAGAATGAGTGAGGCTGGAGGCTGGATGCAAAGAAGAAGGACTCCTGTGTTTTATTAGTTGTGAAGAAAAAAAGAAATCCATCAAGTGTAGTTTATATGACCTGCTGAAATTCCATTCTCTACTCAACTCTACTCAACCACCCTGCCTTCTTTTGTCTTTGCCCAAGCAAGAATGAACAGAAAAGCTGGATACAAGATGTAGTACACACCGACAGGCATTTTACACCAATGTAAATCCCACAGTTAAATGGGATTACATCCACATTTACACGCCTTTGATTGTATTGTGTACAGAATCTTCTTGGGCGAGTGACTTATCTTTTGACCATCTACACCGTCCATGGAGGTTTCTCAGATTTCTAAAAAAGGCACTTATATGTTAAGAGAGCCCTTTCTAGGCCAATGCAAGGTGAGGCTTAATACAGAAGAAGAAGGCTTCATATTTTGGAAGTGAACAGAAGAGATCTCAGATATGACTTATAAACCTTCTGGAGATGATACTGACAAAAACACGGTCTGGTGGGCACTACAAAGGGAAAAAATATTTTCCTTTAGAATGGCAGCTTGTAAGGAAAATAGGAAATGCATTTTTCATCAAAGCTATTAACCCAATTTTATAAAGCTAAAGAGGTTAATACGAAATAAGATACATACTTTTTAAAAGCTACCTCTTTGGGTCACTTCTGGCAAGAATCAATTCATTAGATGGGAAAGAATGACATTTTAAAAGCAACATCAGCATAATTCTTTTCTTCTTAAAATAATTAACAGCACAAAAGCAGCTTTATAGGCTCCACACAGAATCGACAGAGGGAAAATCATTAGATTTTAGTTTCATGCTTCGTAGAGGAGAAAAACTAGGTCACATGCTTCATTGAGTAATGAACAAAATATCACTTGTAAAATAGTACTGCTAGGTCTACTTTTCATCAAGTGCTGGAAGTGACACTTTCAGATATATGAAACATTTGCATTTTTTACTTTTAGTCTCTAGAATAGTGTAGTCTCTTATTTCTAGTCTCAGTTATCCCAAGTAATTTTTATTTTATTTACAGACTTTTACCCTCAAAAGTTCTGAAGCAGTTTAGATTAGGTTTTTTTTTGCTTCCTTAATAAAATTATAGATTTCCACCCAGATATAGTCTGGATTAATTTATATGGAAGAACATATGATTGACACAACTATATCAAAATGATATATACATTAAATTGTACTATTTATTGTAGATGATGCTAAAGAAGATAAATTTTACCCAATTATAAACTGTTATTTTTTAAGGATGAAGCCATATTCATATGGAGAGCCGTGGTGGCGCAGTGATTAGAATATGCACTACTGCAGGCTACTTCTGCTGACTGCCGGCTGCCAGCAGTTCAGCAGTTCAAATCTCACCAATCTCAAGGTTGACTCAGCCTTCCTTCAAGGTTGATAAAATGAGGACACAGATTGTTGGGGACAAATTGCTAACTCTGTAAACCACTTAAGAGGGCTGTAAAGCATTATGAAGCGGTATATAAGTCTAAGTGCTATTACTAGTGCTATATATTATTGAGGAGTCCTTGATGCTCTCTGAGCTTGGCTTGTTTTCTTACAGATGTTTCATTGCCCAAACTAGATAACATCATCAGGGGAATGAAACGTTTGCAAGAAAACAAGCAAACTCAGGGAGCACCAAGGACTCAATAATATATGAATATGGTATCATTCTTAAAAATTAAACACTTTTATAGTGCTAGCACCAGTGCCAGTCACTAATGATGTTACCTAGATAGGGTAATGAAACATCTGCAAGAAAACAAACAAGCTCAGAGGGCACCAAGGACCCCTCATCTCAACCCTGAGTTACAAATATTCTCTTTTATTGATATTCTATATTATTAAATATATAATTTGCAGCTGTATAGAATAACAAGTAATGCTCACAAAGCATGGCATAGTTTCTACAAGTAGGTGCCCTGGTCATCAAATGTTGAGTGTCTGTGCTTTCAATAATCATGATAGTGAGGTGACTTGGTAGATACCAATTATAATGATTGAGTTTGTGAATCTTTGAAAAACAACAATAGAAAACAATAGGTAGGAGCTTTCAGAATGAAAGAAACAAAATTAAAACAATTTATTACCAAAGGTTCTGTATTGATATAATGCTCTTTGACCATTTCAAGCACTATTTATAGTTCTGAAAGAGTGGTCAATGATTAAACTGGAAGATGTCACTGAATAACCTCAGTTGCTACCTTTGACCAAAGGACAGGGAAGACTTTTATGGGCATGGTCTGCAATAGGTGAACGATTGGTTATCTCAAATGAAATCATTCTAGGATGTTTCTAGCCAAGATCACTAAGTACCAGGATGATGAAATTTAGTGCAAAGGAGTATAAAGATCAGAATTCTGACCTTTTTCACAGTCATAACACAGTGCGAGTTGAACTTTATGAAGGCATTATACATTTTATGTTGAAAGGTCAATGGGTGGTTTGCCCTCTTTCCTTCTAAATTCACTGGGCTGAATTCCTGTCCGTGCTGAGTATTCCCGATAACAAATTGGGGGCTGTACTAGTTTAGCACTAGGGCTCTGGAGTGGAGTTTGATTGACATGGCCTAATCAATTTCTTTAGTAACAACATGAACATGGGTTGACAATGCATTTTTCCAGGGTGTTTTTTAAAACTTCATGGTCGAACTTTCAGACGGGGTCTACCCTTGACCTCTCCCATGTAAGTACTAGGTTAGGCATGACCTTGCTTAGTTTTGTTTGAAACTATATTCCGACCTGAACCTTATGGTACAGAGATATTTCTCTTGCCACTTAAAAAAAAAAGAAACCTTGGATTGATCATAAGAGTGCAATTAAATATAAGAGAACTCTACAAAACAATGCGGGAGGCATATGAAGCGACAGAAATTGGTAGCAAATCTAAACATTCATTTTTGTGTTGGATATAGCTGTACTTTTCTTCATTTTCTAAACAATACTAACAGGATCACAATATTGGGAGGGAGGGATTGTACCTCAGGCTTTGCCCATGATACAATCATAATTAAAAATTCCCAGCACTCTGTTCTTCATGTCAGAGCAAAGACCCCTCTATCTGCCAATATAAATCTCTCTCATAAGAATAGTATTTTCATTGGGAGGGAGGAATATAACATCAACCCTTTCTCTTTATATTTTGTGGTCTGAATCATTATATTAAAGGGAAAATGAGGTGTAATCTGCCATTCTAATCTAGTTTTGGCTCTAACTTCTAATCAGTGTTATCTTTGGAAAGGTTTTGTATCAAGCAGCTATCATCAGATGGGGGTTGTAATAATACAAGTGGAAGCTAAAAGAGCTGCAAATCCAGACTCACCCACTTGAAACAAAATTTAGAGAAACGGAGCCCTTCCTAGCATCATGTATGGACATATTTATTACATGGTGTAATTAACCAAGAACTCCCAAGAGGCTTACTGAATTTATCAGTGTGACATAGAAATTAATATATGTTTTGATTCTTTCTTTGAATTTTGACAAATTTTCTAAGATTCTTCAAGTTTTTAAAAAAAGTTTTCCAATACATTTGGTAAGATAAAGTGATTTTTTGAATTTTGTAACAACCAAAACATAAAAAATGATAGTAAATTAACTAGTAGTATATGTTTGCCAAATTTATCAGCACAGTAAAAACAGTGGAATTCTTTGGAAGCAATTCAAGATTTAAAAAACTCAGTTAGTAGTATCATATTGCCAATCTTGCATGAGTTTCAAAGCTATGCTGGGTCAGAGAAGAATACTACTTAGATGGGAGATTACAAAGGAATTCCGGGTCTATAGGCAACTTCAGGAAGTTAGAAAATATTAAATGAAGGTAAAGGAAAACCACTTGTATATTTATTACTAGGAAAATTTCATGGGTGTATCCATGAACGCACTTGACCACTTAAGACTTAACACTGAGTTTCTCAAGGCTTCGTTTAGCTTTTACAAAAACAAACTATGAAAATGGGAAAAGAAAAAAAAAACTGTCACTGAAGATTTTTAAAAACCAACCCATATGTGCAGTTAACTCTAAAAGAAATTCAGGGAATCCTATTTTTTTCCCCATTAGAAATTCATAATGTCCTTTAAGTGACTGATCTTTTACATCGTATTTCTCTCAAAGCACTTTAGAGAAAAAAAGTTTGCGAACATAAAACCATACAATAAAGGAATGATGGATTAGGCTTAAGAACCCAGTGTAGTAGTTAGGCTAGAAACTGGGAGACTATAAGTTCTAGTCCTGCCTTAGGCACAGAGGCAGCTGGGTGACCCTGGGCCAGATACTTTCTCTCAGTCCTAGGGAGAAAGCAATGGCAAAGTACTTCTGAAATCTTGCCAAGAAAGCTGCAGGGATTTGTCCAGGCAGATACCAGGAGTCCAAAAGGACTTGAGGGCACTCAAGTCTCCAAATAATAATAATAATCAGAGGTTAGGTTTATGGGGACATGAAGCCACATCAATTCTTTCAATAACAGAATACTGAAGAAACAAGAGCGCTGTAAAGTTTCT